CAATTCCTTGAATGTCATGAGTGAGTTCCTCAGAAGAACTCATTCAACCCGGTTAACCCATTACATGTCAGTGAGGGCCTGTGGCAAAACATGGACTGGTTTGAGTTGGAAAGGACCCTTAAAGGCCATCAGATCCAGCTCCCCTGCAATGAGCAGGGGCATCAACAGCTCCACCAGGTGGTCTGAGCCCAGTCCAGCCTGACCTCGAGTGTCTCCAGGGATGGAGCATCCACCATGTTGGTGTGTACAGTAGAACTATGGATTACAGATGAGTTGATGGAGTGCTACCCTATAATGATGGGAACAACAGATGAACATGGCAACTCTAATTTCTCAGCATGGATCTATTGTGGCTTTGTGCTGTGAGCCCTGGAGCAAGGTTGTATCTGCAGGAGATGCTCATCCACGGCCTCTGTCCCTTTGTTTTCAGGGAAGGAGGGAAGCGATGCATGGTTGGAATCCCTGTTGATGCTTCTGGTTGCAAATAACATTTGTTGTGAGGGCAAAAAATGCCTTTTGTGAGGGAAGTATTGGAGCAGACCGAATCCTGGTGCCAGCAAACCCAGGCCAGCTGGCACATGGTCAGATATGTCCCCCCCACTAGTAACTGCTTCCTACCCACTGGGTCATCTCTTGCTGGGTAAATACCATCTCTCCATTTGGGCACTGGCTGTGGGATTTCTGTTTGCCTGACCTGCTCTAATGATGGTTTATCCAATCCTCAGTGGATTCCTCTGGCTGTAGGAAATGAACTCTGGGTAAATATGTTTTCTGTCTGTTGGGTCTCTAAAGAAACATAAGCATGTGGATTTCCTGTTGCCTGTTGTAGCTTTTGTTGAGTGCTTTGTTGTGATCACTGCGGGCTGCATGGTGGAGGGTTAAGCATGATGGGGGTACGAAGAAGTTGGTAGATGCTGTGGGAGTGCTGCTTCCTCTCTCCCGACGCTGCATGCTGACAGCACGACCTGGGTGTGCACACATTGCTGCATGGTTGGGCTCCCCATGGCAGTGCCATGTTTACAGGAGGGTAACTGCAGCTCCTGAACAGTGTGCATCTCTGTTTTCCTCCCACAGCTCCCAGGAGGTTGGAGCAGCCCCGGAGGAGGTCATCGCTGCTGAGGCTGCAGCAATGAAAAAGGAGGTGAGAGGAGAGTAGGGGCTGCAGTGGTTCCTGGGAAAGCTGCAGGCGGGTGGCTGAGGGTGCTCCAGGGCTTCTTGCTAGGGCCTGGTTTGCTGGCATTGCCAACTAGCCCTGGGTGGTGCTCCTCACGCTGCTCTCCTTGCAGCTGGCAAGGATCTCGGAGCGGCTGTGTGTGCTGGAGGAGCAGCACAAAGCCTGGCGGAAAGAGGAGCCCCTGGTGTACTCCATGCTGCTCTCTGCCTGCCTCGTCAACACCTGGCTCTGGCTGTGGAGATGACTGTGTGCCTTGGGCTCCCCGACCCACCCTGGGCGAGAGCAGAGAAAGGATTCTTGCTCACGTATTGTGGATGGTAAAACTGTGTGTTTCTTCTGAACTTGACCTGAATTGGAACCATAAAGCTGGACCTGGCCACAGCAGCTGGAGATGGATGAGAGGGAGTGGTGGGGTGGGACAGGGAGCATGGTCCAGTGTGTATAGACCCAGGGCCGGGCTGTGTTTGGTGTATGGTAGCAACTATGTGGTGTATTTTACGGGGTCAATCGTCCTGTGAGAAGCTGCTGTGAAAAGCCAAGCCTCGTAAGAAATTTGTAATGACACAGGAGGTATTTGTCCTGCACAGATCAATGAGAGAGCTTCTGCCCCTTGGGTGTGTATTGGAGGAGGCACAAACCCAAATGTTACGTCTCTGTGGGCATCAGGTCCTGTTACAGTCTCTGGCCATGGTTGAGCTGGTCCCCTGCCTGCATCACAGCTTGGACAACTTAGTTCTACCTCCATGAAATTTCTCAGCCAATTCATAGAAACATAGAATGGCTTGGATTGGAGGGGAACTTCCAGCCCACCTAGTCCCAACCGCTGCCATGGGCTCAGGCTGCCCAGGACCCCCATCCCACCTGGTCTTGAGCACCTCCAGGCATGGGACACCCACAGCTCTCTGGGCAGCTGTGCCAGTGACAGTTACTGTGGTCTCTTCTTCAACTTCCACCCCAAAAGCTTGTGCAGAGTGTTTGGGTGCTTTTGAACTGCTGCTAGGTTTTCTTTTCTTCCTTGAGCAACTGTGTGAGTTGTCCTGTGCCAGGGCGACCCCTGCTCCAGGAGAGGGGTGGGCCTGGAGGAGCTGGGGGCTGCCATCCGCAGGAGAGTTGGACTAGATGACCTTTAAAGGTCTCTTCCAACTCAAACAATTCTATGATTCTATGATCTATGGCCTCTGCTGTGGCACCACCTCCTTGGCTGCTGTCGTGCTGGAGGCTCTCAGCAGTGGGTTTGCAAGTGCTCAGATCCCAGGTGGCTGTAAGAGCACTGCTGAGCTCTATAGAGACTCTGGACTTATCCAGGAGCTTGGCTTTTTCCCAGGGAGATGTACATGGGAAACCTCCCCGGGGTAATTGTAAGACCTTGTAATAACAGTGCAGGCACCAGACAGGCCATGGACAGTTGCCTGTTTGGGCAGCAGTGGGTATCTGTGAGATTGCCAGTGCCAGAGGGCAGGATCACTCCCAGTCTGCTGCCAAGTTGTAACTTCAGCATGGTACAACTGCACAGGTGAGGGGAATCCTTGGCTCAGGTGCCAAAAACCAAGCCCAGTTCAACAGCTCTGCTGTTTCTTTCCTTCCTTGACATTTAGGAACACTTGGATTCACAGTGAACTGAGATTCTCATAGTGGTTCATCCAACGCATCTGCTGAAGTGGTGCCTGCAGGCCTGGGGCAGGTGTTGGCAATAGGACCTCTCTGTTCCACCTATAAATGATTGTAGCTGGATCTGCAAATCACCCAGATGTCTCAATGGCTTATTTACAGACATGGATGCTTAGCTGTTCCCTGCCTGCCACTGCATCAAGCCTCTATGGCTGTAAATCTGGCAGCTGGACATCTACTAATAAATAACTGTCCCACAAGTAATTGCAGGTCTGAACCTGTGGCTGATGTCTGGGTTGAGGACAGCACTGGGATTTACTGCAGGTGAGAGCAGGAAGGGGGTCTGTGCTTCAGCAGTGTCTGTGTAAGGGATGGCAGCAGGGCTCCTGGCTTGGCTCAGGGATGTGGACAGGCTGGAAATACATGGAAGTGAGGTGGTCAGATGGGATGTGTTCCTGAAGGCTAATTATGGGAAGTTGCATTGGGTAAAAGGTGACTTTTTTGTCCTGATTTCAGCTGGGACAGAGTTGAATTTTTCCTTCATAGTGCCTGGCATGGTGCTGCATTTTGGGTTTGGGCTGATAACACACCGATGTTTGGCTGTCGCTGAGCAGTGCTGCAACCACCAAGGATCCTTCAGTCTTCAGCTTCTGGCACTGTGCTGCCATTGAGGGGCCAGGGGGGCACAGGGAGATGGGATGGAGTGAGGACAGCTGACCTGAACTGCCCACAGGGTGTTCCATGCCACATGGCATCATGTGGAAAGCCTTGGCAGTGGTGGGGAGCTGGTGGAGCAGCTGCTGCTTGGGGACTGGTGGGCATTGGTAGGTGGGTGGTCAGCAATTGCATTGTGCATCACTTACTTTGTAAATATATGTTATTATCATTACTATTTTCCTTTTCTCTTCCTTTTCTGTCAGTAAATAGCTTTAACCTCCACCTATGACTTCTACTTTGCTTTCTTTCCCCTGATTCTCTCCCTCCCTCTCACTGAGGGGAGGTTTGAGCAAAGGGCTGTGTGGTGCTGAGCTGCTGCTGGGTCAAATCCCAGTCCTATGCCTCAGGCTCAAGTCCTTCTTTAAATCTAGAAACACTGACCCATGAAGTGCATGTTTTAATAAACTCTATGTGTGCTGGATGTGTCTCCTGTGTCACCGAATCCTGGTTTGGGGTGGCTGAGGTTTTCCCCCTTGGCAGCAGGATGCTGCCCTGCTCTTAGGTGCATCTGCAGCTTTCTTCCTTTGTTGTCCCAGGAAGGTACGTGTGGGAGAGCTGGGTGTCCCCTGAGGAGGCTGCCACAACAACATGCTTAGAAAAAGAGGCAGCTCGTGCAATCTGACACTGAAGGGAGGTGCACCAAAGGGACAGAAGCAGCGAGGCTCCTGGAGCTCCCACATTTTTGGAGGGGGCTGCAGGCAGGGAGCAAAAGGAGAGGTGGGAAGGGAAACGAGCTGCTGCCACTGCTTCTGGCCTGTTGCTGGTTCTGTGGCATGGGGACAAGGGAAGGCGGTGTGTCCCTCCAGTGCTGCTAACCAAGGCTGTGGAAGTTCCACATCTATTCAAGCTGACTGCTGCCAAGATTTTCAGTGAGGTGGGGAATGAGGCTTTGAAGGAAGAAAAGGTCAAGTTTTGGTGCTGAATGGACCCTGGATGCTGGTGCTCTCAGATCTTGCACACTTGCACAGTGTGCTTGAATCTGCGCCCATGGAAAGGACTGACCCAGCTTCAGTCGCTGCATGCAGTTGGATGTGAGTAGGAAAGAATGAAAGTCAGCCCATTCCTTATAGTCTTGGGGATGCAAGCGCTCTGCCAGCTGATTGTCAGAGTGGCTCTGTGTGCAAAACAACAAGGCAGACACCAGTGACAGGCGCAATTCTTGATCATCATCAAACTCTGCAGCTCTCTTCTCTGGGATTCCTGAGAAGCAAATGCGGCTTCCTGCTGCCTGAGAACAGGTAACTGGATGGAGGGGAGGGAGGGTTGGTGGGGAAGAAGGGGATGTGTGGGAGGGAGCAGTGTCCCTCCTCCCCTTTGATCTCTGGCTACAAAGCTGCTGTGGCTGACTACTCTGACGCACGCTGTGCTGCTTGGGGCGTCGAGGGAGCCCAGGGGCCAGGAGTGTGCAGCAGTGAAGGGACACACACACTGTGCATCACCTGTCGGGGCACTGTGGGGACCCCTCTGCAGCCACGTGGCTGTGGTGTTTGCTGAGTCTCCTATGAGGAGATGCCCCCTGCCGACCCCTGCTAGCTTGCTGGAGGCCTCGAGGGACGTCAGGCTCGTAAGTGGGCAGTGCTGGCATCTTGGTGGTGGCTCTGTCACTGTGGGGAGGTGGCTGGGTTTGTGGGCAGCTCTGTGTGTGTGGTCCCAGACCTCCACAATGTGTGTGCATAATAGTGATGTGGGCAGGGCTGTGCAAGGCATTACCCCTGACCATGCAGTTCATTATCAGTAGGATTTGCTGTGGGAGAGCACTGGTGAGCTGTCCCCAGGAGCCTGCTTTGCCCATGTGCCCATGGCTGCAGGGATGTGGAGGGGCTCAATGGGCGGGCTGCTCAAATGCAAGCTTGTACATGCTAAGCCGATCTTGTGCTGCTGTGTGTACAGCATCTCTGCCTTCAGTGGCTCTCCCATCCCTCGTGGGGACTGTTTTCTCACCCTTGGGCTGTAGGAGAGCTGCAGCTCATCACCAGGGCACAGTGCTACAGATGCTGTTGCCCTGGCAATGGCTGAGGAGCCCAGGTGGTGGGGAGAACATCTTTCATGGGCAGATGTAGGGCCTCCTGGGGAGAGTACAATGCCTCATAGGGCTCTGCAGTGAGAGCTAAATGGAAAACACGGGGTGGGCACACGCCTTAGGCTTTGCCTCTTTTTCCTCTGGTGCTGTACCGTAACTCAGTGCTCACACCATACACTGCCTCCTGCTCCCTGAGCTCCTGCTCTTTGCTCTTCCTAGGTCCCTGGCGCAGCTCGCTGGAAGGATGATGGCAAGGAGTAACGGCCTGCAGCTGCCTGGCCCCTGCCCACCCCTACCAACCAGAGCCAGGACTGATGCACAGAGCACAGGGCTTGGCACGAGCAGGTCAGAATGGCTCAGGAGAGGGTGGCATTGGTGGGGCAGGGCTGAGTCTCAGGGCACAGTGGCACACCCCAGCTGTCCGCTTCCCCTGGTTCACCCAGCAGGAGTGGTGGCATTGAGTTGTGCAGTGAAGCCATTGCCCTTCCTTCTCCCCACTGCAGGACCTGCTCAACCCAAGATGAGACCTCAGAGCTGCACAGAGGAACTCCTGCATATGGGGAGGAGCAGCCAGCTGCCCCCCCTTTCCAAGGCAGACGAGCCCTGGCCAGGTAGCGGTTTGGGGGCAGGCTGCAGGGCAGGGTCGGGTCCTATGCATTTCCAGAGCATGGAAGGAAGCTGGAGAGCTGTTGCTTAGGCTCTTGTCTGAACCTTTTGTGCCTGGCTTTGACCTGGCTTTTGTCAAAAACGTTTGCTTTCTCCTCGCTGTGTGGGCAGCTCCTGACTTTGCCTCTTTCCCCCATTTAGGATTGTCAGGCTTGTGCTGGTGCTGCGGGACTGGGCCAGCAAGAGCTTGCAGGAGGAGCAGCAGAGGCCAGACCCCTTCCTTGAACGCTTCCAGGGCCCTGAGCTGCAGACAGTGCCTGCTGATGCCAGCAGCGATCCAGAGGATGAGGAGTCCGAGGAGAAAACCAAAAAGTAGGGCCCTTACCTGTGACACAGCCTCCCTGGGCTGAAGATTGGCCACATGCGATGCTGTGTAGGCAGTTATGGGGGAGGGCCAGGTGTCCCACGGGCAGTGGGCTCAGCTCTGCCCAGGGGCAGGGGGTGGCAGCAGCGGGAGGGTTCCGCTGTTCTCTGCTGGCAGCTGAGCCAAGATGGGTCTGCAAAAAGCTGTACTGGCAGCTGTGCATATGAGGAGCAAGGGACACGGAGAGTCCACGCTGGATGCCAAGGCAAGCACAAGGCTCCTCCAGCCTCATTCATCATTGCAGGAGGAAGGGAGACGGAGGGACTGCGTTTGCTGCCCGTCTCCCCGCCTCCGAGGGCAGACACCATGACGACAGCTTTCTGAAAAGGCTCATTCAGACCCAGTGCTTTCATCTCCTCAGCTTGCACTGCCGCTGAAAAGCAATAACCTGGCTTTTCTTCTGCTGGCTAATTAAGGGGCAAAGCTCACGGACTAGTCTGGACCCTACCATTGTACACGGTAATTAAAACACCAAGAAATGATCCTTTTCTATAGGAGGCAGGTATCTGAGGCTTGTATCAGGGCTGTTGCTAGTCACGGAAAAAAAGTGCTCTGCCCTGCGAGGTGAAAAGAAGCTTGTTAATTACTGAAGGGAGAGGAGCTGATGTGTGCTGAGAAGGCTGCTCCGTGCCTACGGCTCCCTGGGAAAAGCTGCACCCTGCAAGGTATCTGCAGGGGATGGGACAGTAGAGCTTAGTGCTGTCACCCTATAGCCTGAAAATCCCTGCTGAAGGGATAGGATAAAGGTCCTTGGGCTGGGTGTGTGTGTGTATGTGTGTGTGTGTGTGCATTTGGTGCTGCCCCACAGACTGCAGAAGGGAGACTACCACAGCTCTCCTGGGGAGGTGGTGGCATTGGTGACTTAAAGCTGAAACTACCACCATGATTATCATTGCTATTGAGGTGATTAGTACTTGTGATACAGTATTACAGCAGTGCTGGCTGGTTGCAGGTGAGTTGGTGTTTCCCAGATGCCAGTTACCTTATGTCTCAGAGAGCAAGAGGTCCCTTTGTCAGAAAATACTTAAGCTGCACATCAATCCTGTCCTGAGCAAAACACAACTGTTTACTCTTGTAATGTGGGGAGAATCACATGGTTGTCCAGGGTTGCACCCAGAGGGAGAGTGAAGGAGCACTGCTGGCCCTGCTCTGAGCTCCATTCCCACCTGGCACACCACTGATGGAGGCTTCAAGGCACAAGTCTGCTTTTGAAGCTGTCGGAAGCAGCGGGGTGAGCACAGAGAATGTGCTGGCAAGTGGGTTGTTTTTCCTATTGCTGGAGGAGCTTTGCACATTCCAGAGCTGGGAGGGAGGCGAGGATGCAGGGAGAGGTGTTTTGCCCTAGCAGGTGGTGGTGGCTGAGCCTATCAGTCCAGCTGCAGAGTTCCTGTTCCCCAGCTCCTTCAGTGAGATCTGGCCATGGGAGCACATGCATCTTATCTCAGAACCCCAAGATGAGCAGGATCAAATGATTGGGAGCAGTTCAAAGGCTGGACAGAGGGCTGAGCAGGCAGGCAGGCGGTGTGGGATGGCAGCTCTGTGATGCCAGCCGCTGCTCTGGGGCTTGGGCAGCCCCATGGTGCTCCCTCTGGTGTGCAGCAAGCTTTCCTTCCCGCTCTAATTAATCATCTTCTCTCAGATCTGTCTGGCTCCAATCCATGCCTCGTTTAGGAGAGGCAAGGTCATCTCACAGAAGTTTTCTGGTCACCCTCATCCGTACATCAGTTTCTGGCTCTGCCTCTGTGGCTCACGGAGGCCACCTGCTCTGCCTTGCCATGCTGTGGTTTCTCTTCTGCTATGCTAATGAGCGTTACTTTGGGGATAAAGGAAGTTAAACAATGTGGGACATTTTACTTATCACTCCTGGGACTGGATTTAGCCTACAGACTGGCAGTCAAGCTGCAGCTGTTTGATCCAGGCTAGTGCAAAGGATGAAGGGGATGACGCGGCTGGTTCCTTCCAACCCTATTCTCTATGTTTAGCCCTTTATTCACGCATTGCCATCTCTGGCCTCTCTCTGCTTCCAGGAAGAAATGGCAGTCCTTTGTGGTGGACCCTGCAGGGGACTGGTATTACCGCTGGCTGGCCGTCATTGCTGTTCCTGTTCTCTACAACTGGTGCTTGCTTGTGGCCAGGTGAGCTGGGATGTTGCAGGGCTCCTGTCTCCTCTAGCCTTCATCTTCACCTCCTTGTTGTGGCTCAGGTGAGGCTCAGACAGCTGGTGCTGATGACTGTGGGGCGGTGGGAAGCTAAAGGAAAGAATCAGCCTATATTCGGTTGGGAGAGAGATTTGTTGGTCTCACTGCCTCATCCTGCAGGGCTTGCTTCAGTGACCTGCAGAAGACTTATGTTGTCCTCTGGCTGGTGCTAGATTACATCTCAGACTGCATCTACACTGGGGACATAGTGATCCGCCTGCGCACAGGTGAGCATCCTGCCTTGTGAATGCTTTGCTCTAATATCCTAAAAGTGGAGGGACCTAATCTATAGCTCCATTAAAAGGAGGGTTTTGTCTACCTTAGTTCTCACCAGTATGAAGCAAGTCTCCAGAGAAAGAGTCTAATTTAAAGATCTGAGAAATGAGGTAAGTTTCAGAATGAAAGATTAATCATCCTGGCTTCCAATTTCACCTTTGAATAATTGTACAAAATTACCCTCATTACTATTAGTATTCGGGCAGAGTTGAATGTCCGTATCTCTGATTTTGCCCAAGTTCAGTTAGTGAATTATCTACATGGAAAAATAGTAGTATTTCATGCTCTTGGAATGGAGGAGGTGGCTGTACAGCTTCTGTCTGGAACTGCAATAATTCCTGGTCTGGAGAAGGAAAACCTTTGTGTTCCTACTTCTTCCTGGAACAGAGTGAATTCCTAAGCATTATCTTTACATGGCTTTTCCCAAATGCTTGATAACAAAAGCTTGTAAGCCACCTACTTGGCTTACAGGTGGAACTGGTAATGTTTGGAGGATTGTATATATGCACGCATTTCTATGGCATACCATGAAATATTTATCAGAAGTGCTTACAAAGCCTGCCGTAGGGTTTAACAAAAGCCAAAATAATTCTCTCATTCCCTTCTCTGTTAGGTTTCTTGGAACAGGGCCTCCTGGTTAAGGACCTGAAGAAATTACGGGATAACTACATCTACACCTTGCAGTTCAAGCTGGATGTTCTCTCCATCCTGCCCACAGACCTGGTGTACTTTGCTGTGGGATTGCACCGCCCTGAGCTGAGATTCAACAGGCTGCTGCACTTCTCCCGCATGTTTGAGTTCTTTGACAGGACAGAGACCAGAACCAGCTACCCCAACATCTTCCGCATCAGCAACTTGGTTCTTTATATCCTGGTGATCATCCATTGGAATGCATGCATTTACTATGCCATCTCCAAGGCCATAGGCTTTGGAGAAGATACCTGGGTCTATCCCAATGTCACAGACCCTGAATATGGGTATCTCACCCGGGAGTATGTCTACTGTCTCTACTGGTCTACCCTGACTTTGACTACCATTGGAGAGACCCCTCCTCCCGTGCGCGATGAAGAATACCTCTTTGTGATCTTTGATTTCCTTATCGGTGTCCTCATCTTTGCCACCATTGTGGGGAATGTAGGATCCATGATATCCAACATGAATGCCACCAGAGCAGAGTTCCAGGCAAAAATCGATGCAATTAAACACTACATGCAGTTCCGCAAGGTGAGCAAAGACATGGAAACCAAAGTCATCAAGTGGTTTGATTACCTGTGGACCAACAAGAAGGCAGTAGATGAACGGGAAGTTCTCAAGAGTCTTCCTGATAAACTAAGAGCAGAGATTGCCATCAATGTTCACCTGGAGACACTGAAGAAGGTGAGGATTTTCCAGGACTGTGAGGCAGGCCTACTGGTGGAGCTGGTGCTGAAGCTTCGCCCTCAGGTGTTCAGCCCAGGGGATTACATTTGCCGCAAGGGAGATATTGGAAAAGAGATGTACATCATCAAGGAGGGGAAGCTGGCCGTGGTGGCAGATGATGGAATAACGCAATATGCTTTGCTCACTGCAGGCGGCTGCTTTGGTGAGATCAGCATCCTGAACATTAAAGGGAGCAAAATGGGCAACCGGCGCACAGCCAACATCCGTAGCTTGGGCTACTCTGATCTTTTCTGCCTGTCAAAGGAAGATCTAATGGAAGCGGTCACAGAGTATCCTGATGCCAAAAAGGTCTTGGAGGAACGTGGACGGGAGATCCTTAGCAAGGAAGGCCTGCTGGATGAGTCAGCTGAAGAAGAAAGCATGGAAGGGAAGAGTGTGGAAGAAAAGCTGGAGAGACTGACCTTGAACCTGGACACACTTCACACTCGCCTTGGAAGGCTCCTGACAGAGTACAATGATGCCCAGATGAAGCTCAAGCAGCGCATTAGTGTCCTGGAGTCCCAAATGAGGCAGCAGGATCTGGAAGACTTCTTCTCAGATAGTTCAGACAGTCTGTCTGAGGTTGAGGGTGAAGCTACACCTACTGGGTCACAATGAGAGCGTGCAGATCTCAGCTAGTTGATGTCTTGCCTTGTGTTGAGGCAGTTTCTATTTCCCGTGGGAGCACCTTCGACTGCCTTGACAGGACTTCTCACATGTTCTTAGCACTGCCACTGAGTGGCAGCTCCTGAGATGGCTCAAAATCAGGCAATTGTCCTAGCTCCTCCTCAATCCTGTCTCATTTCTTGTGAAACCTCTGACTTGGGTCAGTAAGAAGAGGAGGATGACTAATGCCACTACTGATGTTTCCTTCCAGCTTCAGGAAAAGGTCTCTGTCGATCGCACTTCTTTTTGCCTTAGTAGAAAGTGGGATGTGAACCTTGATGGGGGGGTACCTGGAGTACCATCTCAAGTGAGAAAGCCCAACTTGTGCCTCTCATACGTGCAGACAGGGAAGCTTGTCTGGGACACTGTCACCCCATAGGTCATCTCCACCTCTTACTGCAAGGCTGGGCATCCAGCTGGAAGAGCAGGCAGCTGCCCACTGCGCTGCTCTTTCTGCTGCATTCAGTGCTCAGCCATCAAATTGCCCCAGCACATGCACACGGGTAGCCCAAACATCTCTCTTACCAGGAAACAGCACTTCCTCCTGCTCTCCTGCTGCAGTGGTGGAGGGATTTCCATTTGGACTACAGAGGACTCGGATGATCAATGCAGGGTGGATGTGAAGACTGCTCCTTATTGAATGACAGTGCCTGTTGCACTGTGAGAGGAATGAAGATAGCAGCTGTCTCTCATCTATTTAATGATGGCTGGATGTGCCAGGAAGGGTATGACTGAAATGACATATTTTTAAGGAACAAAGCGGTGATAGGACCCAACTGTGCCCATATTTGCTTTACGGTGGGTAGCTCAGAAAGAGTGTAGAATGCATTTATTTTCTTAGGCAGGAGGTTTTCTTGTAGTCGGTGGGAGTTTAGGGCCAGTTGCTGTCTGGAGAAATGAATGGCAGTCATGGGGATGAGTGTGCAAGGACAAAAACCTTACCCCATCACAGCCACCAGCAAAGCCTTGTGGGTCCATGGTGCAAGCAGGTGAGAATGGCCATGTAGTCCCTGCAAGCTCAGCACCATCACTAGAGGCTTCCAAAGAGGAGGAAGCTTGTTAGAGAAGGGAATTATGGGGAAATTCGTGTGCTGGGTCAAATTCAACTCATACTTTGGCTAAAATAGTGGGATGACAGATGAGGGCATGCCAAAGCACAAAGGCTCATGGTGGAAAATGGAGAACACTTGCTTTGTCCTTTCTTTTCCCTCTCAAATGAGCCTGACTTCCTTTATGTTGGATGATTTTCTGTTTGAAATGGAACGGCCTTGCTTTCTGGGATTTCTGGGAGTGGGAAGATTAAATTACCAAAATTGGAACTCGGAGCATAATAATGGTTTTTTTGGTTGCCTCGATGAAATACGGGGGGGTGCATCTGTCAGAGCGAAGCTAACTGTGGTTGGAGATGAACTGTCTTCTGCTCTGACTCCTTTCGCTACCAAACCCTCGGCTCCCAGCTTCTCCCTCCGCTCAGGCCGAGTGCCGTGAGCCGCCCCGTGCGAGGAGAGACGGGAGGGAGGCTGCGGCTGCTGCGGTTGGGCCGGGAGAGGGAGCTGTGAGCCGCGGAACCGCCGCACGGCCCCGTACCGATGGGCAGAGCAGCGCCGGGTTGCTTTTCCCTGCGCCTGGTTTGCTGGGCGATGCGGGCGGCCCGGCGCGGTGCCTGCGCTCCTTCCTGCCCGTCCCCGGAGCGGGGCAGCTCCTGGCTCCGGCTGGGGGAGATGCTCACAGTTTAGGGGATATCTTCGCTTCTTGCTGGAGAAAACGAAAAAAAAACCCGATCTTCCTCTCACCCCCCTTAGTTTTAATCCGAGGTAATAATCCACTCGGGAAACTTAAGCTGTCAGACAAATTACCCCGGAGGATGGCTTTCCGAATGCAGAGCAGATCCCGTTTGTTTTCTCGGGGCAGCAAGCCAGGAAATCACAGATTGATGAACCGCTTGATGGGCCTGCTAATGAAATTAGCAGTAGCTCCATGATCTTTCCAGTGAGCCGACAGGCAGATGCTGGAGAGAAGAGCACAGTGGCACAGCTGCACTGCTGGGCTGTCTGCATCCCCAGCAGAGAGGACATGGGGCACAGCAGATGCACCCTGGGACTGACCATTGCTGGTGGCTGCAGTATGAGTGTCTCCCTGTAAGGCTCTCCTGGAGATGCCAAAGGCTGTGCGTGCTGGTTGGCACCCAGGAGGAAAAGCTGAGGGTCCGTTAAACTCTTTTGGCCGTATATTATCTATAGTTTTGTTTCTGCTGGATCTCTCCTACTGAAAAAAAAAAAAGTTATCCCCTGTACGACAGAGGCTCTTACTCAGCTGTGTGTTGTGAATAGGAGACATCAAATACGAGCAAATATTTTGTGGCTTTAGCTCCAGAGAGGGCAAGGGCAGAGGGGGGGAGGCGTGGGGATTGCCAGGCAGCTCCTTCCAGTGCTGTTGAGCCAGAGGAGCCCCCCTGACCTCTGCTGCAGATTTCTGCACATCTACGGTACCAGAGCTGTAGAAAAAGGGCTGGGTGAATCAACCATAAATGCTGGGTGAATTAACCATAAATGTTTTGCTTGGTGTTGGGCTCTCCTTCTCCTCTCTGAACACTGTTTCTAGGAAAGAAATAATCACTTCCAGTTGATACCTAGAAAATCTCTCCTGTTTGCCTGTGGGAAAGATAAGTACACATCTCACTGGGGGAAATGGAGAGGTCCTGCCAGGACACAACAGAGATGACTCCTGCCCACCTGCTGTTTGTACTTCTGAAGATGCTCATGAAGAGGCACTTTGGTGAACTGAACAGGCTCCAAGCTAATCTTTTCTCCTTAGACAACCGGGCTAATAACCTGGCTTTGCTTTTCTGCCAGAACGGTAAGTTAGCCAGTGTCAGGTCAGCAAGGTTCATATAGGCCTGGACAAATGGATTTTAGGATTGCAGAGTGGTTCCAGATGGAGCCCTGGATCTGGTATGTAGGCTGAAACCTCAGCCTTGCTCTTCCTCATTGAACAATACCTGCTGAGGTTCAGCTGAGCTGCAGTCTCTTGAAGCTCCAAACTCTGCCAAAGGGTCTGTTGTGGTTGAGCAATGGAAGTGTTGTTTGCAGCCCTGTGTGTCTAAGGACTTGTAAGAGACAGAAACCTTCCTGAGATGTTTCACTGAGTCTTAACTCACTGATACGGGCTCTGCCCTGTAGAGGCAGAGCCTCCCTGCTGAGCACCCGCTGTGCCATACAGCCTGGTTGGTGCTCAGGCTCTCTTTGGTTCTGTGGAGCTCACGTCCTCTGTCAGCCTTAGTGCAGGGTCTCAGTGTGCCCTGGAGAGAGAGAGAGTATCTTTGGCCCCAGGGGCACATTGCCCAGCTATGAGGAGCAGAGGTGGAATGGCTGAGTGCTGCAGCCCTCTTGCAGGTGTGGTGTTGGTAAACTTTGCCTTGCTGAAGCACAGAGTGGCCAGTCTGGGTTATCCTGTCCATGATCCACCTCTGACTGTCTTGCTTGCTTTCCTGCTCCTCCCCTGCTTGAAATACCAGGGTGCTGCCTCCTCCTTGGACAAACAAGCAGAAGTACCCATTCTTTCCCAAATGGGAACCATGTATGTTACCATGACAGCGGCTCAGGGTGAGCAGGAGGTGAAGCCATTCTTGTCTGTCTCTCTTAGAGGGATGGAAGGAAAGACTCGGGATACCTTCCCAGCACCTCTCCTGCCCTGCCCAATGGTGGATCTGCTCAGTGTGTGGAATCATGGGGACCATGTTTTTGGCTCTTCTGCCACACCTTGAGGACAGCTGTTGGTAGCTACATGGGATGGAGGGGTAGGGAGATGGTGACATTTGGTAATGAGCAGAGGAGCATTGGTTTCTCATCTCATGCATGTCTGCAGGTGCTTCTGAGTCTATTCATAGCTCTGTCGCTGGCAGAGAGCTGTCAAGATGCTCTTCACTCTTCTTGTTTTTTAATTACAACTCAAAGTTCTAACTCCTGTTGAGAAGTAAGGATTCAGCAGACACCCTCCTCTGCAGACAGATGTGCTGGCCAGACACGGGCAGTCTCAGCACCTGCCTCATCTAATGAACCAGATGTTTCTATTGAGAGAAACCCAGCCACAGTTGAGCCCCAAGTCCATGGTGATGGCCTCCATCTTCCCTTTCTCCATTCCCATGGGAGCTGCAGACACAGATTTTGGTACTGAAAGCTATGCTCTCGTAGTGGAGAGTGGTTGATGAAGTATAGGATGGATGACCTGTGGACCAGCCAGACTGGAACTGTCTGGATCTGCTGCCCCAAGGTGCCTTCTAGTCCCTCCAGCAGCTTCTCCCCAGTTGATGTACTGTGTGTGCTTGGCTGTGTATAACCGAATCACAAAGGCAGTGTATTTTGTGTGTTTGCACACAGCTTTACAGATGTGAAAGTCAGAGGGGACGGTGAGCAGTGACCTTTAAGCAGGCTGTGCCACTGCAGCAGCTGTGTGCTTCCCCCATTCCAGGATCCTTGTCTGCCTGCCATCACTCTTAGAAATACCCAGGGTATAGTGAGCTTCAGTTGGTGTTGGCACAGGGCTGCTGTAATGGCAGGCTTGGGAACTTCAGTAGAGAAAAGACCTGGAGTTTTGGAGACAGTGCTCTGTAGGAATGGGACTGCTGGAGGACAAAGGTCTTCCCCATAGCGAGAAGTCCCAGGGAGCAAGATGCACCCATCCGAAAGGCTGCAGTCCTCTTTTCCCCTCTTCTCCTCCAGGTCCCTCATCTCTCCTTCCCTCCTGGCCCTCTCTGCATGTCTTTGAATGCCACATGAATCGATACTTTTAATTAGCTGCTATTCCTCATTTCCGCTTTATTGCTCTGGTAAGCAAATTAAAAGCCAGCATGTTGTAGTGAGCAGCTCCCCAGGGAGGACTGCAGGCAGGCACTGCTGCTTGCCTTGGGTTTGGGGGGGCACCAGAGGCTGGGGGCTGTGCCAGGGGCTGGAAGGAAGGGCTGGGGGCTGACAGAGAGGCTGGACTCTCACTTCCAGTCCTGCAGCATCCTTCTATGGCTGGGAATGACTGCGGAAGGGCTTTGTGGGGCAAAGGCAGTGGGTGAGCCCAGCCCCCAACCCACAAACACCCCTTTGGAATGGAGCAGCAAGTGTCAGCTCCCACTTTGCCCCGAGGAGAATCTCTGCCAAGGGAATGACGGGAGGACTTCAGCAGTAATTAAAACTTTTAACAACATAACCAAAAACGCAATGAGCCGTTGCTGTTATTAGTCCAGCTAAAATGATAGTAGCACAGAAAGACTGAATTCTGTAATTAACACTTAGCACATGCCATCAGCAGCACTGCCGTTCCCAACCGCTGTGCACGGAGAAGTGGCATTGATGTGTTTGCCAGGAGCAGCGTGCTGCACGCCGCGCTCTCAGCTCCTGGTGTTGGGTCTGCTTAGGGCCATGGCCGTGCATTTCCCAACAAGCATTACGTATTCAGCTTCTTCCCTGCTCCGTGAGCTCACAGTGCAGCTGACATTGCTCCACCTGTATGTGTGCAGAACTTCTGCTCTCCGGAGCTCCATTTGCTCACTGCAGATCTCCCTGTGATCTGGGTGGAGCTCCAGTGTAGCTGTATTCCCTCTCCTTGGAGAATGTCTGCTCTGAGATTTCCTAGGGCAACCAGCTCCTGTGGCATCTCCCTTGGAGAAAACATAATTGCAAGGCCTCTCTTGTGCAAAGTCCTTCCTTGTGCTGGTGTTCTCGGGTTTCTAATAGTGCAGTGGCCTTCTCCGTTAGGAGAATGAAAGAGCATTGAATGTAGCTGGGAGGCAAAGTGTGGTCTGGCAGTTCTTCTGGCTTGTCAGAGCCTTGGAGTGATGGGCACCAGTGGGCTGCTGTCTGTAAAAGTGACCTTTTGAGAAAGACAAATTGAGAGAAAATGTCTCACAGAAAAAAAAAAAAAAAATCAAGCCAGAAACAAAAACACCCAACCAACAAACCAGCCGCTGTTCGTGGAAATCTCTCTGCCGCAAAGCAGTGGCAAAGGTTCCTGTGAGCTGGCCTTGGCTTGATTGCTTTCTGTCAGACACAAAGGGCACAGCTGCTGTTTCTGTGAGAGCTCAGCCTTACCTGTCCGCATAAAGCAGTTAGCTTTTACTTCTTTTCCCTTCTCCGGTGTTTTTTCCGCTACAGCCTTACGTGGACCTTGCATGCTGAAATTTTGAGAGGAAATTCTGGGTGGTGTTTGGGAACCCAATCACCCCAAATTGCTCTGAGCCTGAGCAAGAGATGTCAGTGTTGGTTTCTGGGCCCCGTGCCCCTGTGCCATCCTTGCTGCACGT